GTAGAAAGTGGGGCAAAACGGCAAAAACCAACCAACCAAACAAAAATACCCACTCATTTTTACTGTGCTTTTCCTGGTAACAACTCCAAAATTACTTTTCCTTCCTGAATAATTTCTTTTATCTTTAGTTGAAAATAGTGTTTAAGATGGTGACATGGGTCATTTTGAGAGTTAATTCAGTTTCCTTGGGTATATTCCACATATACAGAAGGTATACATGTTACTAAAATTCTATCAGGTTGGGAATAATGGGGCATGTACAGATGTAAGCTTTCTGATGCATAGCCTAAGGAATTTCCACTTGACAGTTTGTATTTTCTCTAGTTGCTGAGAAGCATCTTGTTTGAAACAAAAGGAATCAGAATAGCTTAGGCACAAAAGAATAACTGTAGCAATGCCTGCCTGTCAACATTGTTAATAGGTTGTGATTCTGTAAGTTTGACTTAATATAACTTCAAGTTTCCCAGACATCATCCTTCAAATATGAATTTTTCAAAGACACCCTGTTGGGCTGTTCAGTAGACAAGAAATTCTTAGTACACATGAAAAATTTTGGACAGCCATTCTTGATTATCATATGTAAAGAGTTTGATTTTACAGTCAATAAGGATACTTCTGCATTTCCTTCTGTGATCACACCAGCCACATCTAAGCATAGTACACATGTAGGTTTAAAAAGCAGCATGAGTTCAGTCCCTGACCAGCCAGGGAGCTAATACACATGATGCAGCAGACTCTCCTTGTCTTCCAGCTGATCTACTCAGCAGTGTATTTCAGTAGATCTGCCTGCTCTGTTCCCCACTCTGTCTCTGGCAAATCCTCTCACCTCCTGCACCTCTGGCATACACCCCAGTTCTTGTATGCATACATAAATAAATCTTTAAAAAAAATTAATGACATTCTTCAAAGTATTGGAACAGACACTACTAAAATTCCTATGGAATCACAAGAGACCTTTATTAGACAAAATAGAAAAAAGAATGGCGGAATCAAAGATAAACAGCTGGGACTACATCAAATTAAAGAGCTTCTGCACAGCAAAAGAGACAATAACAAAAACAAAGAGAAACCCCACCGACTGGGAGAACATTTTTGCACACAACACTAATGATAAAGGACTGATCACAAAAATCTGCAAAGAGCTGATGAGACTCAGCAACAACAAAGAAAATAATCCAGTCCAAAAATGGGCAGAAGAGCTAAAAAGAAACTTCTCTGAAGAGGAAATGCAAATGGCCAACAAGCATATGAAAAAATGTTCAACATCACTTGTCATCAGGGAAATGCAAATCAAAACTACCATGAGATACCATCTTACACCAGTGAGAATGGCACATATTAAAAAACTAGCAACAACAAATGTTGGCGAGGATGTGGAGAAAAAGGAACTCTTCTGCACTGCTGGTGGGAGTGCAAACTGGTCCAACCACTATGGAGAGCTGTGTGGAGACTTCTGGACCTAGTAAACATAGAGCTTCCATATGATCCAGCAATTCCACTCCTAGGTATTTACCCAAAGGACACAGAAACATCGTTTCCAAAGAGCACCTGCACCCCTATGTTTATAGCAGCACTGTTTATAATAGCTAAGCTTTGGAAACAACCCAAATGCCCCAAAATAGATGACTGGATCAAGAAGATGTGGTACATATACACCATGGAATATTACTCAGCATTCAAAAAAGATAAATATGTGCAATTTGCAGCAACATGGATGGCGCTGGAAGGGATCATGCTCAGCGAAATAAGCCAGAAAGAAAAAGAAAAATACCGGATGGTCTCACTCATAGCAGGAATCTAGAAAACTTAAATAAAGGACCAGGAAAATGAATAACTATAAGAAAGTGAAAATCAAAATCAACAAAAAACTATGAACCAGAGATACTCTATGGGGGTTGGGGGGGCGGGGAAGGGAGGGATTGGGGTCAAAATAAGGGGGTTGCAATTGTATGGGGAATATAAAAATAAAATTTATTTTAAAAATAAAATAAAAAAAAAGAATGGTGGAATCATACTTCTAGACCTCAAACTATACCATAAAATAATAATAATTTAAAAAGGCCTGGTGCTGGAACAAAAACAGACACAGACCAATGGAATGGAATTGAGAGCCCTGAAATAAACCCATACCTAAATGGACAGTTAATCTATGACTTACAAGTCAAGAATGTATACTGAAACAACGAAAGTCTCTTCAATAAATGGTGTTGGAAAGACACATGAAAGAGAATGAAACTAGACCATTATCTCCCAACATACACAAAAATCATTTCAAAATTGGATAAAAGATGTGGCTATAAGAACTGAAACCATAAAATATATAGAAAAAAACATAGGCAAAGCACTTCACAACATAAGCTTCAGCGAAGTTCTCAGGGATTCATTTCCAGCTGCAAGGGAAAAAAAAAAAAAAACAGAGAATATAAACAACTGGGATTACATTAAACTAAAAAGCTTCCATAATACCCAGTAATTCCACTCCTAGGCATGCACCTGAGAAATTAAAAAATACTAATTTGAAAGGAAATGTACAATCCCAAATTTATTGCAGCACTATTTACAATAGCCAAACTACAGAAACAACCCAAGTGCCTAAAAACCAGATGATTGGATTAAAAAGTTGTGGATTATAGGGCCTCCCCTGGTAGTGCAGTGGTTGAGCACTGGGCTGCCTTGAAGCTGCCCACAACCTCTGCAGCGCAGGTTCGATCCCGGGCCGTTAGCGAGGATCCCACTTGGCACGCAGACCTCTCCTGCCATGCCCGCTGCTCCCCTTAGCAGTGTACTTCGGTCCTTCTGCCTGTTCTGCTCCTGGCTCTGGCTCTGGTGAATTCTCTCACCCTCCCGCGCTTTTGACTGTACACAGTGCTTGTATAAATAAATAAATAAATCTTTAAAAAAAGTTCTGGATTATATACACAATGGAATATTATTCAGTGGAATATTATTCAGTGATCAAAATAGATAAACTCATGCCATTTGTGGCAACATGAATGAAACTGGAAGGGATAATGGTAAGTGAAATAAGTCAGAAGGAAAAAGATAAATTCTGGAACATGTTATTTATACGTAGAATACAGAGAAACCAAAGTAAGTGCCATATAGACAAATTTAAAAATGAACCTTGAACGCTGACTATTGAACTGAAACATCCAGCAAGGAAATGGAAGGAGGGGTAACAACAAAGAAGGAAGGGAGCACAGTGACTATGGTGTGGACTATGGGTGGTTTGGCGGTGGGTGCACAACGGTGGAAATTCCTGAGAGTGGAATTCTATACTTTCAAAATACTAACAATAATTAAGCCAATGTAACCTCAATAAGAACATTAGCTAAAAAAAAAAATTCCAGAGTATTTTAAATCTCAAATATGTGGACCACTCTCATTAGCGAGCTAGAACTGATTTGTGGTAGGAAAAACTATTAAATCAACATGGCAATGTTTCATACACATCAACAATGGAAACACACCAGACTAGGATGAAGAAAGATTACACCTATTTCTGAAGCTAGTTATTCATCCACAATTTGGAATGTGTCCTGCTTCACTTAGTTAAACTGATTTGTTTCCAAAGCTCCCTCAAAATCCAAGATCTTGATTCTCTTATTTTCATTTACATCTAAACAATTTGTCAAGTTTCCTTTTATTGATAATATTTCTTATTTCTAATTTGAAAACTTCATCTGGGGGAATTCTGTTGTATATTAATATGTTAGCTAAACATAAACTATATGTGAAAACACCTTTTCTTCCTTTACCTTTTTTTAAGGAATAAGCTGGGCATCCACATCAATTTTAAGTGTCACATCAAGAATCAAAGTAACAAAATAAAATAAGTGGTGTGCCAGCTTCTCAAAGTGGAACTATTCAGCTGTGCACCATATGTCTTTCTGAAATATGCCAATTGTATGTCATGAAAAAAGGGAGAAAAATCTGGCTAAGCCAGTGAGAAACTGTCTTAACCAGTAACAGTTACCTTGTCTGAGTAGAGAAACCCACTCAAGCGGCTGGACCAATATTGAATGGAATAAAATAATTAACTTTTTATGATCTTATTTTGTCTATTAAACTGATTTTTTAGCCTAAATCCAAAATTTTGAAAATATACAAAGATTGTTTCTTAAGAAACAATTATCTAGGTCATTGGTATAATTTTATGAATTGTAATTTTAGAATTCTTAATAATTTTTCTTAAATGGTCATCTGAATTTTGTACCTAAGAAGATTTAGTGAAAGTAATAATTAATTTTTCTATTTTTTTCCCTATCAATTATATGTATTATGCATACTATCATGTGTTTTATTCGACATCCTCACAAATATTCTGTTTATTTTTACTTTGGAAACTCAGAATAATTCCTGGTAAGTTACCACAGGCTATTTTAGAAAATGATTAGAGGGAAGATTTAAAATTTGCCACTGTATCAAGACCCTTGCTTTGAAGTATTAGTCCTCTTCTTAATTTAAAAGCTACTGTGCTAGTGAACTGGATCAATCATGATAATCGCGTAATTAGTGACTCTCTATTGTGACCCAAATCTGATTTCTGTTAAACATCCCTGAGCTTCTCTACATGTCCAAATCAATAAAGGTGGAGTAAGTTGCCCACCTATTATAGGATCATCATGATCAATTAGGCAATGCAAATATTTTTTGCAGCAATCACACGTACAAGTATCTGTTGAGTAAATGGTATATCTTGACCCTTGTCTAGTTCAATGGCAGCATTTTGCAATATATTTGCAAATATATTTTGCAATATATTTTTGCAATATATTTCTTTTTTGCAATATATTTCTCAAAGTCATTGCTAACAGAGTGTTATATGCAACTTCCTATAGGATATAATTAGAAAAAAATAAGCAAATCTTATGTAATAAAACCACTACAACTTTCAGTCTCTCTTTGACTTTGTAAGTCTTAGTTTGTAGCATATCAAGAAATTCTGGCATGTCAACCAAATTTAATACATATCATCTTTATGTCCTTTTTTTGGTCAGGAAACAACCAACCTATTGCAATCTTTTCCAGCCAGTTAAATTAACAAATTGAGACCAGAATCTCTGTCAAGTTACCCAAGTAAGAGAATGGAGTATTTGGGGTTGGGCAGAGAGGAGCTGACACTGTTGGATTCACCACCAAAGTCAGGTGGTAAGTGTGGTCCACTTGGTAAGCAATTAAGAGTAAAAGTTAGGGGCCTCCCCAGTGGCACAGCGGTTGAGCACTGGGTTGCGAAGCTGTCCGTGGCCTCCGCAGCGCCAGTTCGATCCCTGGCTGCTCCCCGCCCACTGGAGAAGGGTCCCACATGGCACGCAGACCTCTCCTGCCTCCCGCTGCTCCCCTCGGCAGTGTACCTCGACCCTTCTACCTGTTCTGCTCCCCACTCTGGCTCTGGTGAATTCTCTCACCCTCCCGCGCTTCTGACTGGACCCAGTGCTTGTATAAAATAAATAAAGAAAAAAAAAGAAAAAAAAAAAGAGTAAGAGTTAGGCTTGTATAAAATAAATAAAGAAAAAAAAAAGAGTAAGAGTTAGATGTGAAGCAAATGAAATAAGGACAACCTGGAAATTATTGTTTCTGTTTCTCTGTCTCTGCATCTCACCTCACACTGCTTTTCAGAGGGTTATAGATTGGATTTAATCTATTACTTCTAACTTCCAAAAAATTCCTTCTTCAGTCAACTCTGAAGAACACAATTCCAGCCTAATCAAGCTGACATAAGAGAAAGCACCAAAAACAAAAACAAACACTTCTTAATCTCAAAGTCATATAAAATAAATACAGGGCAGGCGGTAGATTAAACAGGATATGTTATAAATATTCCCTTCAATATAAATATCCTGATAACTCAAGACAAATGAAAAAGAAACAAATATGAAAGAAAAGGGGGAAACAATAAAACCTTTTAAAGTGATCTTTTACATACAGATTCTTAGTAATGAACAAAGTTGCTAATACTTTTGATGATTTGATGAATACCGTATCAAGATACATAGATCAAGATGTTGATCTGTGGTACATAATAAAAGATAAAACAGAAAATCCATGTTATCTGAAGCTGAAAAAAAAAAGAAAAAACTACAAACAAAATTTATATCTGTAGGAGCAGGAAGACCTCAGAGCAGGTTTTCTATAATCCAGCAGACCAGGTAAAGGAGGAGTCAGAGTCTTCAGTGGCTTTTGGCAGGCTTTTATTGGGATTTACCTGGTACACAGCAGGCAGGGATGCTGGGGGGCCTGGAGGCTGGCAGGCCTCCCAGCCCCCAGCAAGTCTTCACCCTATCTGGGCTCTCCGGCATTCTCTGCTTCTCTCTCAGCTTCTACTGGCTTCCCCATGATGCTGCCCTTAGAAGCACAGTCTTAGCCCAGGTGAATCCCATCTACCTATGCCCACACCCTATTCCAGGTGCCTGCCATCAGGCATGCGTTCAGGACCGCAAGGATCCATCATCTATCCTGATGGCGAGGGGCAGAAAAGCCTGACGTTTTTCCTTACCCTACAATATCACATTGGCCACTGTAACAAATTACTATAAACTTGGAGACTTAAAAGAGTATATATTTAGTCTGTTACATTTGAGGATTGTCAGTACCAGGCTTACACCAGCAGGGGGACCTGGGATGGTGGTCACTTCCCCCCAAGGATGAGTCCCTTCCGCCCAAAGCGGAGGCTGATGCAACAGTAACCGGATGTTGCAAAGGAGGGGGGGTGCTGGGCTGATGGTTGCAGAGCCGCTGCCATGATGGTGCCTGTAACGGTAGCCCCGTCAATATCCTTACACAAGCGTATGTACCCAGAAATATCCTGTTTATCCTTCCATGGGCGAATGGCCTCCTGGCACCATTTGTTAGCATTTTCAAAAGCCAATTGTTTGACTAGTATAGAGGTAGGACATGATTCATTGGACAATAGTTAATAATCCCCCTTTCCTTCTGCCGGTTTCCAGAAAGGGGGGTTTTCTCCCGTCATTCTTGTCTACCAATTCCACCACTGGACTTCCTTCTATAATATCTTTCAATCTATCGTTCAACAATCAATCCTCCCTCAATTGTAGCTGTCAGTACCAGGCTTACACCAGCAGGGGGACCTGGGGTGGTGGTCGCTTCCCCCCAAGGATGAGTCCCTTCCTCCCAAAGCGGAGGCTGATGCAACAGTAACCGGATGTTGCAAATCCACGTAAAGCGCATGCGCAGGCCTTTCCGATATATAGCCCCTCCCCTCGAATAAAGAGAGTTCCTGCTTCCAGCCAAGAGAGTGCACGCGTCTTTTCATCCCCAGCCCCTCCGCCGTGTTCCTGAACCCCGTCGGCCTGCAGGCAGGACCGGCAAGTGGCGCCCGAACATGGGGCACGAGTACGAGGGATCCTCTGAGGGACCGATCAATCAGTAAGGTAAGGATTAGGTAAGTGATCGGCATTATGGGCAATACCATGTCCAAGGGCCAACTTGTTAGAGCCCTACAACTTCTGCTTAAACATTATGGAACTCCCGTTAAGGTTCAGACCCTTCATAATCTAGTCTCAGTCCTCGCAAATACCAGCAAATGGTTCTTTCAGCAGGATACCGTCTCAGTAAGAAACTGGGAAAAGGTCAAAGCAGACTTCCTTTACAGGGACCTTTACGGACCCCAAACTATTCCCCCCCGTACCCTCCAATTCTGAAAATTCTCGGGAATCCCTTCTGGCCTGCCCGGTCTCGGTTGTTCAAAATGATCAGGGACAGCAGGTCCGGCAGCATTCGGCACTGCCTTTCCGAGACCTCAAGCTCTTAAAAGAATCTATCAAAGACTATGGACTTCAGAGCCCTTTTATTCACCAAATGTTAGACACCTTTGAAACCTTTATTATGACCCCCAATGACTGGAAGGACACTTTCCGCGCGGTTTTGAGCCCGGGGGATTATCTTTTGTGGAAGGGTCAGTTTACAGAACTCTGTGACCAGTATGCTCAAACCAATATTCAAAGAGGTTTTCCCCAACAAACTAAAGAAATGTTAACCAGGGAGGGTCCCAATTATAGTACTAATCAGCAACAATCTTTATATAATCCTGCTGTTTTTGCGCAAGTAGCCTTGGCAGCAAAATCAGCTTGGAAGGCACTGGGATCCAGGGGACAGCCTCACCAATCCCTTACAAAAATCCTCCAGGGCCCCTCAGAGCCATTTGCTGACTTTGTAGCTCGCCTTCTAACAGCAGCCTCTCGAATTATGGGTGAGGGCGAGCCTACCTCTATACTAGTCAAACAATTGGCATTTGAAAATGCTAACAAATGGTGCCAGGAGGCCATTCGCCCATGGAAGGATAAACAGGATATTTCTGGGTACATACGCTTGTGTAAGGATATTGACGGGGCTACCGTTACAGGCACCATCATGGCGGCGGCTCTGCAACCATCAGCCCAGCACCCCCCCTCCTTTGCAACATCCAGTTACTGTTGCATCAGCCTCCGCTTTGGGTGGAAGGGACTCATCCTTGGGCGGAAGCGACCACCACCCCAGGTTCCCCTGCTGGTGTAAGCCTGGTACTGACAGAGGATGTCATACTCCAAAGCCAATTTCACTGAGCTAAAATTAGGGTGCCAGGAGGAGTGTGTTTCTGTGGATCTGCTAATCCTAAGCAGCCTGTTTGGCCACCATTAGTTACCTACAGTTCTGCATTCCTAAGCAAGGTCAGATCTGCCTGTCAACCGGTTATAGGAGAGCCCAACCTCACAAAGTGCCTTTCAAATCAATCAAGAGCAGAAAGCTTGATCACACTGGGAAGGGTATGCATTGTGAGATATGGCCGGGAATGCCCAGGGGGCTGTTGACCAATGCTTAAACTTACTTCCAACTTATAACTTACACATTATCAGTCATGGCTGGGAATGCCTGGGGGGCCACTGACTGATGACTGATGTATAACAAGGGACCCCAGAAGGTGATCAGTGGAAAGCCTTGTTGATAAGTACGAAACCATGGCTGGGGATCTAGGGCTTGATCTCAATTACTGAGTCCTCAAGCAGATGAGAAGTGCCTGGGGGACAAACTCACAATCCTTGATAACTATAGATGACAGCACATTTTCTAGTTTCACCCCTCCCTTTTTCTTTTTTTCTTCCTCCCCCTTACAACTGATGCTGTATGATTATTCTATCAATAAAAAGACCAGGACCTTGCTCTTCAGCAGCATCCTGCATTGTTCAGCCTGCTGCACAACTCCCATTTCTCTCAGTGTGGTGTTGCCAATGCAACTTGTTTCCTTCCCAAGAAGTAGGTTCCATTGTTCTTCTAGCTTCTGATGGCTGCTGGCATTCTTTCACTTCTGGCACAGCACTCCAACCTCTTCCTGTATCATCCCATTGCTTATTTTCTGTGTCAAATCTTTGCCAGCTTCTTTTTTCTTTCTTTCTTTTTTTTAAATATTTATTTATTTAGGGGGCTCCCCGGTGGCGCAGCAGTTAAGCAATGGGCTGCAAAGCTGCCCGCAACCTCTGCAGCTCCGGTTCCATCCCCGGCTGCCAGGTGAGGGTCCCACATGGCACACAGACCTCTCCTGCCACCCACTGCTCCCCTCAGCAGTGTGTTTCATCCCTCTGCCTGTTCTGTTCCCCACTCTGGCTCTGGTGAATTCTCTTACCGTCCAGCGCTTCTGACTGTACCCAATGCTTGTATAAATAAATAAATAAAATCTTTGAAAAAAAAAGATTTATTTATTTATGCATACAAAAGTGGGGCACAGGCCAGAGATGGGGGGTGGGTGTGAGAGGATCCACCAGAGACAGACTGGGGAACAGAACAAGCAGACTGACTGAACTACACTGCTGAGGGGAGCAGTGGGAGAGTCAGGAGAGGTCTGCTGTGCCTTGTGGGTTGTTCCCTGGCCAGGGATCAAACTCATGTTGCAGAGGCTGTGGATTGCTTCATAGTGTGGTGCTTAACCCCTTGAGCCACCAGGGAGGCCCCTGCTTCTTTTTTCAAAGTGTAACAGGGGTGTGCCCAGAAAAAAGGGGAGGTTCCAAGTTCCCTGCCCCACCCAAAGGAGGGTAGAGCTGAGCAGGGAGGAGAAGAAGCTGGAAAGGAGACTGGAGAAGGAAGGAAGCTGGATAGAGAGCAAGAAGGAGACCTGGAGGAGGCACGTGGAGCAGAGAGACATGAGAAGAAGCAGAGTTTGCTTCCTGGACCTGGACTGTTAAAAACAGATGCAGGTGAGACACCCATGGGGAGGTTAACAATGGCAGCTTTTCTCTTTATTTTAATTTTGCTTTCTCCTCCCAGACTTGTCTGGCTGTTTCTGACATTTTTCTATGTGTCCCCACCAGAAGGTGCTTTAGACTTGTGATAGGCTTTTGGGCCTTGCTCTGGGCCAATCCAGTTTGGGTGGACTTTTACCCATGAGGGGATGGGTAACTTCGGGTATTTGATTTAGAAACAATATTGTCTTTTCTGTATTGTTCACTAATTATATTAAATTTCCTTTCCATTAGAGGTTTTATATCTTTTTGTCTTGATGCGATGGATGGCAGAACCTATTTATAGTGGGCAGGTTTGGGGGTTCTGGGGTACCCTTTCCCTGTCCTGTAACAGAACAATATTTATGATTGTTTATGGTTTACCTAGACAACTCAGGGTAATTTTCCACACATGCAATGTAAATTTACATTGTTTCCATGGATTTGATCATGGACATTTTGAAGGTCATTATTCAACGTTTTATAATTTTAAAAATTAATATGCATATTAGAAATCTCAAATAAGGATACCATATTCATGAATAAGATGACTATGTATCACAAAGATCAATTTTCCTGAAGTTAATCTATACTGCTTTTACAATTCAAATCAAAAGCATAGTGCGATCTTATTTTTGAAGTTGTACAAGCTCACTGTAAAATGTATATAGTAAAATAAAGATTCACAGCCATCAGGATAATTCATAAAAAGATATTTCAGTGGACCCAGAATGTTCCCTGCAAGATATTAAGTTAATATTGCAAAGCCATGGTAATTAAAACAATCCAAAATAAAGTGTAATGGACTTACCAATGGAACGGAATATACAATTTAAGAAGATGTACATATAAATAATATTATTTGTATATATTAAGATTTTTTTTCAGAGTGTATCATATGAAGAACATAGTATAAAACCATTATGCAAGGGTAAAATTCCCAATAAACCACTGACACCTGATTTGTGACTTATTGATTAAAAAATTTCATATAATCATAATTTCATATAACACTTTAGATAATATTAAAATATCGTATAAATTTTCATTAAAACAGAAGAGTTATAGAAAAAATAAGAAACTTCTCAGATTATTCCTACAAAAATATTACAAAACTCTTTTCACTTTAGTAATAATACTATTAACTATAATTTCTCTGTTCTGTTCCAGAACTATATCAAAATAGTGAACTCATTCCACTAAATGGGATAGTCATGTTTTAGGCCTATTCTATATAACATTTCCACTATGATTCTAGGTTACAAACACATTTTTAATTTTCTTTTCAAAAGGCAGATCTATCAGAAGTAACAAACAAATACATTTGTGCATCCTCAGCAAGTGTCATATGCAAGCTCAGTGATATTGTTTCTTAGTTGATTTAGTGACAATTGTGCCAGTATATACTACAAACCTAGAAGAAATCATTTATTTTTAAGCATCTCACTATAAAGTTCTTGTAAGAAAAAAAATACAAATAGCTTAGTCAAATTAAATGTAAACATGACTAATGGTTCATTACAATTAAGCTTTAAAAAGGAGTATGCTAACTTTTTAGCAATGCTTTCTCTCTCTAATTTCACTAGGTAAATTTAATGTTTGCTTAATCTGCATCTGGGATATATCGGTTTTTAATGAGTAATCATATATTCAAAGAAGCTTATCTATGATGTAGTCAATGTAATATTAATACTGCATAATAAAGCAAGTTTTATTTAACACTGACTTGCTCTGGATGGATAGATAGATAGATAGATAGATAGATAGATAGATAGATAGATAGATGTATGTTTAAATAAATTCTGCAATGATAGGCTTTACCTACTGCCTTCAGCTTGTGAACACAACTATCTAAATGGAAACATTCTATCCAGTTTCCTATTCTACCACATGGTTCATTGACCACATTTCCAGATTTTAACCAATTATTCTTTGTGCTAATATGACAATGTCCATCAAAAAACTATGGCAAAATCTCAGTGTGTGTGTATGTGTGTGTGTGGTATTGCTATCCTAGGATTAAAAAGGATAATGAAAATTCCGCTGGCTCAGATACCCCTATGTCATTAGAGCACAAGGTGTTTCAAATACCATCATTGTACTTATTCCTTTAGTGTAAATAAAATAAGATGTGTCAATATTGATATTAACTTTTAAATGCTTATATAATATTTGTAACAATTTTCACAATGGTTTTATTCTCCAAGAAGTAACATGAGTTAGTCACAAGAATTTGGTAATGTTAAAAGTAGGGTATGAGTTACTGCTCATCTATGTAGTCTGTTCATTTATTGATGAGAAATAGTTTCAGCGATAAAGCCTTGTTTGGGGCCATAAAAATAAGTGAGGGACCTCCCCTGGTGGCTCAGGCAGTTGAGGGACCTACTGCAAAGCTGTCTGCAGCCTCTGCAGATCCCAGCCGGCCGGCGAGGGTCTCACATGGAGCGGCAAACCCCTCCTGTCTCACCCGCTGCTCCCCTCAGCAGTATATTATTTTGTCAGTCTGCCTGTTCTGTTCCCTGATCTGTCTCTGGTGAATCCTCTCACCCTCCCGCACATCTGGTCTGTACCCTGGTTCTTGTATAAATAAATAAATCTTTAAAAAAAAAATAAGTGAGTAGTTTGATTCTTGTAACTCTTAATAAAGGACCCTTTTCAGTCTAATCATAGTGTTTCCTTTTTTCCATGTAGATTGTACTTTCCAGAAATGCAGGATCTGAACTTTTGCAACTGCTGTACCTTTCTCCAGTTATTTGAAACTCACTAGAGAAAAAAACATGATGACTATTTGACACTTCCACTATTGAAGAAGGTGATGTTTCTCATGACAATATAGATTTGCTTCTTTTCAAACTATGGAGACCAAGAGCTATAATTGTGTGGAGCCCAATAAATGAAAGACTGCTGACAAAATGATTTAATACAGACCGTGTAAAGTGTCAATTATTAAATGTTTCATACCCAGTGATAAGGGACAAGGAGAGATAAATTACCACTTTGGTGACACATTAGAAAATATGCTCACCAAAGATGAGGTACCTGAATTGTCAAGTTAGAAATGACCCCATTAGAAGAGTAAGAATCATGGGAAAAGAAAGAAAGAGAACAAGCCATGCTTTACCTTGAATGACAGTTTGTGAGGTTATCCTGGATTTTACTGACAGATTTAGTAAACACAGGACTCATTCTTTTAGCAGAATTTGTGCCACACAGGGTTATTTTTCCATAAGTGACTATTTTTATTAGTAGTATACTTATATTGATCCTTAATAGCATTTAAACTAAACTATAATTTTTCAAATTAGTAAAGAAAATAGATAACATATAAACAAACTCTAAACTCAACAGTTTATATAATCTTATAATGACTACTGCTCAGCTATATAAAAATGCTCTTATCTGACTTTAATAATCCCCTTGAGGTTTTTTTTTTATTTAGATGCTTGTGTTTTATGGAGTGCCATATAGAATAAATGATTCCTACTTACTTTTCTTCCTTGTTTCATGTTAATGTACATAAAATGTTAGTGTAAAAGGGTCTGGTACATCTGTAACATTGATTATGTTAGTTTATATGTTTGTTTCCCATGAAGAAAATCTCCATGTTACTATGCTCCAGGCTAGTGTTTCTCACACTATGATGTACATGATCTAGAAATCTTGTTAAATTACGATCAGTAATCTGGTCTGGAGCTGAGCTTCTGCATTTCTAACATTCCCTAAGGATGCTGACGTTGCTGTTCCACTGATTACACTATGAATAACAAGCTGGGAAGGGTTTGCAGACCAGGAGGACCAATAGCTACTGCAATGTTGTTAGAAGGGCATATTATTAGCTATACCTCCACTGGTTACATAATAATCTCTAGGGGCAGGCCCATGCTACGAAAAAATGCTGTCAAATGTTACTTATTCTTTCAGTGTTTTCATTTTTTCTTTTATTCTTTATTTTTTGAATATATGTGTACATATATAATTAATTTAGTACTCTGATTAAAATTAATCACAGATTGGATGGTTTCACTTATAGGAGGACTATAGGGGAACCAAATAAGGGATCAGGGAAAAGAAAATAATAATAATTAAAAAAAGACAAAATTTCATAAAGGCCATCTATGACAAGCCAACAGCCAGTATCATTCTCAATGGTGAAAAGCTGAAAGCAATTCCATTAAGATCTGGAACAAGACAAGGATGTCCACTCTCACCATTGCTTTTCAATATAATACTGGAAGTCCTAGCCAGGGCAATAAGACAAGAGAAAGACATCCAAGGAATCCAAATAGGAAAAGAAGAAGTCAAACTATCACTATTTGCAGACGATATGATATTATACATAGAGAACCCCAAAAACTCCACAGAAAAGCTAATTCAACTCATCAATCAGTTCAGTAAAGTGGCAGGATACAAAATCAACACGCAAAAGTCAGTAGCCTTCCTATACACAAACAATAAATCTGAAGAAGAAGAAATCAAAAAGACCATCCCTTTTGTTATTGAAACAAAAAAAATCAAATATTTGGGAATAAATCTAACAAAAGAGGTAAAGGACCTATACAAAGAAAACTATAAAACACTGTTAAAAGAAATAGAAGAAGACACAAAGAAATGGAGAGACATCCCCTGCTCATGGATTGGAAGAATAAACATTATTAAAATGGCCATCCTACCAAAAGCAATACACAGATTCAATGCTATTCCAATCAAAATTTCAATGTCATTCTTCAAAGAAATAGAACAATTATTGATGAAATTCATATGGAATCACCAAAAACCCCGAATAGCCAAAGCTCTCCTGAAAAAAAAAGAAGGGAATGGAGGCATCAGACTCCCAGACTTCAAACTATACTACAAAGCCATAATCATCAAAACTGCATGGTATTGGAACAAGAACAGACATACAGACCAATGGAATCGAATAGAAAATCCAGAAATAAACCCACAGATTTATGGTCAACTAATCTTTGACAAAGGAGCAAAGAATATGCATTGGAGCAAAGAAAGTTTGTTCAATAAATGGTGCTGGGAAAACTGGGTCGCTACATGCAAAAGAATGAAGCTTGACCACCACCTCACACCATACACAAAAATCAACTCAAAATGGATTAAAGAACTAGACATAAGACCTGAAACCATAAAATATATAGAAGGAAATATAGGCGAAACACTACGTGATTTGCACATCAAAGACATCTTTACAGACACATCACCCAAAGCAGTGATAGTGAAGGCAAAGATAAACAGCTGGGACTACATCAAATTAAAGAGCTTTTGCACAGCAAAAGAGACAATAACAAAAACAAAGAGAAACCCCACCAACTGGGAGAACATTTTTGCACCCAACACTAATGATAAAGGACTGATCACAAAAATCTGCAAAGAGCTGATGAGACTCAACAACAACAAAGAAAATAATCCAGTCAAAAAATGGGCAGAAGAGCTTAAAAGAAACTTCTCTGAAGAGGAAATGCAAATGGCCAACAGGCATATGAAAAAATGTTCAACATCACTTGTCATCAGGGAAATGCAAATCAAAACTACCATGAGATACCATCTTACACCAGTGAGAATGGCACATATTAAAAAAACTAGCAACAACAAATGTTGGCGAGGGTGTGGAGAAAAACGAACTCTTCTGCACTGTTGGTGGGAGTGCAAACTGGTCCAACCACTGTGGAAAACTGTATGGAGATTTCTGGACCTACTAAACATAGAGCTTCCATATGATCCAGCAATTCCACTCCTAGGTATTTACCCAAAGGACACAGAAACATCAATTCCAAAGAACACCTGCACCCCTATGTTTATAGCAGCACTGTTTACAATAGCTAAGCTTTGGAAACAACCCAAATGCCCAAAAATAGATGACTGGATCAAAAAGATGTGGTACATATATACCATGGAATATTACTCAGCATTCAAAAAAGATAAACACATGCAATTTGCAGCAACATGGATGGCGCTGGAAGGGATCATGCTCAGCGAAATAAGCCAAAAAGAAAAAGAAAAATACCGGATGGTCTCACTCATAGCAGGAATCTAGAAAACTTAAATAAGGGACCAGGAAAATGAATAACTATAAGAAAGTGAAAATCAAAATCAACAAAAAACTATGAACCAGAGACACTTTTAGGGGGGCGGGGTGGGAGGGAGGGATTGGGGTCAGAATGGGGGGGCTGCAATTGTATGGGGAATATAACAATAAAATTTATTAAAAAAAAAAAAAAAGACAAAATTAACAGGCAGCTATAAATCACAGACATTTTGCAGGTGAGGGGGAGGAAGAGGATTAAAACAAGGGTAGGAAGAGCACAAGGGACCATGGTGATGGTGTATGGTGAATTGGTGGTGGGACTTCAATAGGGACTACACCCGAGAGGAGAAAGCAAACATTGTACAAAAATAAACAATGATGTAAAATATATATAAATAAATTAATAAAGAAAAAAATGCAAAAATATTTGTCATAGATTTTCTCTTTTTAACCAATAGTTGTAGAATGCAGAACAGTGAAATAGATATTTTCTCACTGTCATCCCAACATCAATAATCAATCATTTAATTTTATTTATGGATTATGAAGCTCAGAGCCATGGTTCTTTGCTCTAAGGCGTACATGGTACCAGTAGAACATATTAGAGTAGTGACTAAGAGCACAGTAAAAATAATCAGATATAGTTGTGTTTATATTGTGGTTCTTCCACTTTCTATGTTATGGTTGTGTAAAAAATTTAATTTCTATGTACCTTAATTTGTAAAATATCTGCAAAATAAAGAGTGTTAAAACGTGCTTCAGTGTTATTGAAAATTAAATAAATAGATGATCATAAGATGCTATTTTAACATCTGGCAGATAGAATATTTTGTCAGTCTTCATTATTATCAATTGTGTACATGATATATTTGTTAGTCCTTTAGATAGTGTGCAAGGAAAGAAGTTTTGCAGTTGATTTAAAAGAGGGCAATGTAGAAATGGCTGAAGATTTTGCCTGAATATCTCAGATTTTCAGCCAGTTCTATGTAAGAATGATAATCAAAACTGCCATACCTTAATCAATGTTTAAATTCATCATCAAACAACTTACTCAAGTTAACAAATGGAGACCGACAACTTATCAAATCCTCTTTACAATTATAATCAAGGACAACTGCAGTAGTAACCCTTTACTACAAAATTTCAGCAAAGTTATATTACCCTTCACTTGAATTTTTATTTTGACTCTATTAAGATTTGAAGATAAAAGATTAAAAAAGTTTTTCATGTCTGTTGGCTTGGCATAGTTTCATAATTCTGCATTGATTTAAATGAGTTAGGTAGTAGGAATCGTGTTTTGAGGGTGATAATCTTTCAACTTCCACTTGTATTATTTTTTTTTCTTGCTGTTTTTCACCCCCCTGTTTAAAGCATTTTTTTTTAAAGTGCTTCCAACCTGGAGCAAAAATGACAACATGGTGTGTTGGAAGCGATTAATGCCTGTCTAGAGAGCACAGTGAAACATGAGTACCTTCAATGTAGCCCAGGCAAGCATTAATCAGTACCTCAGCACAGCCTGAAGTGACTTTTTGTAATAATAAAAAGGGAATTTTCCCCCAAAATGTATGTCAAAAAATCTGTGCTGCAAGTATTTTTCTGGAAAGGAACAGTTTTTGATGAAAGCATTTCCTTTTTATATGAAATGAAACATTTTCTGATTTGACACACAGCATGTTGGTACTGGGGTGGTTAGGAAAATATACCACTTATAACTCCAAAAATGAGTGGCAGTTGTAAATTATATCAAAGCCCATTACACAAAGAAAATGTTCTTCAAAGCTAGGTAATACCATATGTGTGGGTGTGTGTCCAGACACACACACAGACACACACACACGCACACACATGCGGGTTATCAAAAACCCATTAAATTCAACCCTTTTAGGTTTTCCAGCAGAGATTAATTTCCTAACATATCATCCCCCTTTTACAGAAAACCTTCCTTTCTTGGAAGCTCATGTTCTCATGGGACCTTTTTACCATTTCCCTGATAGCCAGGGGCTAACCAGCAATCCTTCATGATCTTGTAAGGCATTTCATTTAAATTTATATTGAGAAATTTATAGTCTTATTAAGTTGTCTTCCCCTGAGATTCATCTTGCCATGTTTCATTGGTATGTCATTTTAAATAGGTGCCATTTAAAAGCTTGCCCCATATTTTTATGGGCCACACTATAATCAAATGAGGTTAAATCAAGTCTTGAATGTTTCCATGTGGATAACCAAAGAAGATAAGTTTTGATATCTTGGTTTTGTGTTACTTATTCACAAAGTACTATTTAAAATTTCAGTCATTGCTCAAAATATATAAAATTCTTATAGTAAAGATAATGGCTATAATGACTTTGATCATATTAAAAACCAACACAGTAAATGACAATTTAATTTTTTTAACCAGTGTTTTTTTTTTCCATCTTTGTATGGGTATTTGATTATTGAAACAATATTTCTTGATCTTGGTAACTGATTGAGGCATTTCTTTTTTCATTTCCACAGGCAGATGTTTCATTGAAAATCTGCAGACCCAGCAATGATCCAGAACTCACCTCCTCTATAATAGTGAGTTTTTAAATCTCCAAATCAACACATCCCGAAACAAATTATATTTTGTTTATATTCTGGTGAAAAAGAGCAAGCTGTCATAGAAAAACTGAGATTCACCAAACATGACCAGGTAAGAGTTCTCCCCACCAGAGTTTTTGGAAGAATTTTTATTAAACATCAATTTATAACAGGAACAACTAGCAGTCATCTTAAGCAGCCAAATACCCAGAAGATGAAGATAACGACTGTATTAGTTTCCTAGGACTGCTATAATGATACATAAACTAGATGACATAAGACAACAAAAGGTTATTACCTCACAGTTCTGAAAAATAAATGTTAACGATCAAATGGTCTGTCTTATGACTCTAGGAAGAAAACCTTCTTTGCCTCCTTAATTTTCAAAGGTGGTCAACAAAATTTGTATTCCATAGTTTGAATCCTCATAACTCCAATTCTCCCTTTCACTTCCTCCCTCTCCTTTCCCAGTAGTCTCCCTTTATTACTCTTTTTTTCTTTTTATTTTCACAGGATCTTCCTGAGTTGTCAGAAATATAAATTTGTAAGAGAGGTTATGCTGAGAAAAGTAACATTTTATGAGAATAATTGCTATAGGAGGTCAGACCAATACAGGACAGAAGAGATTCCTTGCTTTGCTCCCAAGAGGATCATCTCACAGTGAACAGGAAATTTTTATACTACTAGTCAAAAGACACATTAATTCTTGATTGTTGAGAGCTTACAGGCTATAAAAAAGATGAAGTGTAACACTATAAACAATGAGAATAAATAATTATCTGGGAATGTTTATTGGTATGGTGCCATTTATAAAACTAATTAAACAATCAACAAGGAAGTAATAATAATTTAGAACAGGATAATGAAAGCAGAATTAAATGTTTTGGTAACAATTGGGATATGCAATATGACAAGCTTAAAAAAGTAATATGGATTTCTAAATATGAATTATGGGTGATTATAATAGGATAGATAGCATTTACTAAGAGTGGAGTTAGGATAAAGAGTTTGTGGGGAAAATGATAAATTTTATATGATTATAATAAATGTGACATTTCTTTGTGTATTTGGGTTGTTATATTTGTCATCCTATGGAATCCACTCACAGACTTGAGAAAAATTTGTGATATATGCATTTGTTATTTTATAATCAGCTATTAACTCTAAGCAACTGATGAACTATTTCTGAGAGAAAATGTAATGAGAAGAATAAAACTTAAAACTTTATGCTAAGGTAAATAAGTCAGAAAGAGAAAGACAAATAGCAGATGATGTAACTTATTTGTGGAATTTAGAGAAACAAATCAAAGGGTCAGATAAAGCCAAACTAATAATGAACCCTAGGACTCTGATAGTAGAACTGAAGCTTCTAGAGAGGAGGAGGAATGGGTGAGAATAAAGTGGGGGGGGGGATGCACAATCAGCTATGGTGGTGGACTTTGGGTGCTTCATATTGGATGTGGTGCAGTGACAACTGGAATGGGAGAATCCTATACCTCTAAAGCATAAACATTGTAAATCAATGTTATTTTAAACCAAAAAACCTCTATACAATACATATTTGATTTTGACAAGAATCCTATAACAAGAAAAAAATGTCAAGGAGGTGAATAAGAAAATATTGGTCAAAGAAGTAAAAAATTAGATACATGAGAGTATTAAAATTAAGAAATAAAAGCTATACATGCTCTTTATGGGTATTATTCTTAGTGATATAAATCAGATAAACAAATAAAACATCCTGTTATTTCAGTCATATGTGGTACATAAAGAAACAAATGATTGAGCTAAAAAAAATAACTTTTAGGGCCTCCCTGGTGGTGCAAGGGGTTAAGATGCAACCTATAAAGCTGTCTGCAGCCACTGCAGTATGAGTTAAATCCCTGACTAGGGAACTACCCACCTGGTACAGCAGACCTCTCCTGACTCACGTGCTGCTCCCCTCAGCAGTGCATTTCAGTCTATCTGCCTGTTCTGTTCCCCACTCTGTCTCTGGTGAATCCTTTCACACCCCCCCCACACCTCGGGCCTGTACCCCAGCTCTTGTATGCATAAATAAATAAATAAACATTAAAAAAACATAACTTTTAGGGCCTCCCTGGTGGTGCAAGGGTTAAGACGCTGCACTGTGAAGCAATTTTAAGCCACTGTAGCACAAGTTCTATCCCTGGCCGCGGAGGTGATCCACATGGCACAGCAGACCTCTTCTGACTTGCCTGCTGCTCCCCTCAGCAGTGTATTTCAGTACATCTGCCTGTTCTGTTCCCCACTCTGTCTCTGGTGAATCCTCTCACCCACCCCTGAAGTTCCTCTGGCCTGTAACCCAGCTCTTATATGCATAAATAAATAAATCTTAAAAAAAAAAACAACTTTGAGAATACAAGAACAAAATAGTGCTTACCAACAGGGAAGGGGTTAAATAAAGCAAAAGAAGTTAACTGTATGATGATGGCTGGTAGCCATTGTGGTGGCAAACATAAGGTAGTATATATAGGGATTGATTTAAAAGACTGTACACCTGAAATCAAGAATGATATAAACCAATATTCTTTCAATAGAAAAAAAGAAAAACTAAGAGAAATGTTAAATACTACAGAAAAAAAAATAAGATTATCATTGATAATCTGGAGACAATTAAGATATTAATTGCTTTCAAAGTATTTGTTGAAAATTGGAATGGAGAGATTAAAATAGCCTTCTGTGATGTATTAAGAACTAAATGGGCTAATATTTGATAAGAAAATAGAACTTAGGACAACAGACTGTCTTTCTAGATGTTAGGGAATTACATATAAACACAAAAGATGAATAGTTCACTTAAGCGAGTTAAATACTGAAAAATGATTTTCAATAAAAATTAGGGGGAAAGCGGAAGAAGACATTGTATTCATGGGGAGAGAAGAAGTAAAGGCCAAAGAGACAGGGAAAAAAAAGAGAAAGTACTTTTCTGAAAAAGAAGAAACATAATGGAAACCTTATATTAGGTGAAAGGATGACTTTCAAGAAGCGGGAGGTCATGTCTGAGAGAAAAATAAGAAAAAAGATGAGCGAGGGAGGGAAGTTTAAAGGTGAAACTTGGATAAATTATTGCATTAAGAAGTCAAGAAGATATGAGACAGAATTGGTTGCAGACTATTTTATCTAGGAATAAAAGGACCCTGAAGATCAGACAATACCAAGGATGAAGGGAAGCAATCAAGGCCCCCAAAGATAGTGAATCAAACAATGAGCAGACAACAATGTAAGCTTGTATTTGGTACTAGGTAGGTTTGTCAAGAGATAACAAAGACCTAATAATAGGAATTAAAGTTCATGGCTTTATCTGATCAATGGAACACTGGAAAGAAGCCAAATAAGACCTTGGTTCCATACAAACTGGTAGTTCTAGTTATACCAGTCAAATATTAGTGAACATGATAGGTGTCCAAATTCTAAAACTGGAGTAAACGTAACAAGAACAAGGCTAGAATTCATTGACTGGAATTTACAAGTTAGAATACAAGAAACATCAATTCTTATTTGTTTTTAAGATTCCTTAAAGTCTGAGACACTTCTTATTTCCTTACTGTGGTAATAGGATATTCCATCATGTCACTGATAGAATCTATAATCACAACTTGTGATAAAGTAGTTCCATGTACAAAAAGGGATGAATCTCAGCAGAAGAGAATCAGTGGGTTGATTATACTGAGCAACATTGTGGATTTGATTCGTTCTAAATCCAAAGAGTATTGCTTTGTGAAATTTTGTAGCAGTAACAAGTAGGTGGACAATAGAAACACACACACACACAAATATGTAGCAATTTCATCATTATTATCAAGTGAGCATGACAGAAGTTAACCTGGAAGTGCAATACTAATTTATTGATGATAATATCTTAGAAAAGCCTAGCCATGTGGTCTATTCCTAGATTCTCTATCAAAGAGATGAGAAAAAAAGAATAAGCTAGTTCATCCTCTGAAGGACTGGGAATGTTGAGATTTAAGAGCAAACAAGAGGTTTAAATCTGAAGGGAGTAATTCAGAAAATAGAAAAAACAAAATAGAAATATGTCAAAGTGAACATTTCCAGAATGCAAGGCATTGGTGGTAAAGATACTTTCAGAGATGATATGTTCTAATATAATCTTTCCTTGACTCATTCAATAAACTTATATTCTCCTCTACTATTAAATGCCAGGGTATCTTCTATTTTCTGGGTATAGAGCTAAGTACAGAACAGAGTAAGTCCCTGTCCATATTAAATTCTAACCCGGACAGACAATATGAAACCATTGAGCACTGAGAAAAGATAAGTTCTGTGGAAAACAACACTGTAGTCTAAGTATTAAGGAGTCAGAGTGGGTTAGGGGAGTTAAGAGAACCCTAAAAAATTAAAAGAACCCTAAAAACAGGGAAAAGTGAATCACCTGAGAGAATATTTCAGAGAGAGGGAAGAGTACATTCAGACATCTAAGGCAAGTGTTTTCTAGAAACTAGTGAGGGGCAGGGAAATACAGGTGGGAGAGAAGTGCAAAGAGTAGAACCTTAGGTCATGAGTTCAGTGGCCTTTGCAGTCACTTAAGACTAGTACTTCTTTACCCAATAGTATTTCTCCATATTGGAAATATTTGATAAGGCTGAATAACTTTCATTTTAGATCCACTGTTGCTTTCATCAGCAAGAATATGAGTGTAAGAAGAGATATCAAGCAGAAAACTATTGTATTAATCTAAGTGAAAGAAGATGGCTCTTTAGACCATCGTGAATATAGTCAGAAGTCAGAAATAATTTAAAACTTGAACGAAAATGATTTGCTAATGGATTTTATTTGGTGTTTGGGAGAAAGAATAGTTAGAAATAACTCCAGGTTTTTGGGGTGCGTGTTTGAAGGAAAGTAATGTCCATATACTGAGTTTTTCAAAATTAAAACTCTAATCCCAGATTTAATTTTGAAGATTCCTTGTGGATTAGTAACTTTCATATTTAATTATCATCATTTTAGTTAAATTTCAAGAGGGAGTAGAGATAAATAAGCATGTTCAGTCTTCCCTGTTTAATGAAAGCTCCAGTAATTCATTGTCTACATAAGATCTACCTGAGATGTGTGTGGAATTTATTTGGTTTATTCAATTAAAGCAAACAACAAAATTAATGAATTCAAATTTTCCAAAAAGACAAATTGACATTGATTTTACTCAAGTTATTTTAATTAATACAATCTAAAAGTTTGTTTTTCTTAAGATTTATTTATTTATACAAGAACCGAGGTACTGGCCAGATACGTGGGAAGGTGAGAGGATTCACCAGAGACAGAGCCAGGAACAGAGCAGGAAGACTGACAATATACACTGCTAAGTGGAGCAGAGGGTGAGACAGGAGAGGTCTGCTGCACTATGTGGGATTCTCACTGGCCCACCGGGATTGAATTCACGCTGCAGAGGCTGTGGACAGCTTCACAGTGCGATGCTCAACCACCTGCGCCACTAGGGAGGCCCCGATCTAAAAGTTTTATGATAAACTTTAAAGTAATTTTTTTAAAACATCTCCCAATTTTGTTTTGCTATTTTTTTTCTAATGATTTACTTATTTATACATACAAGAACTGAGGTAAAGGCCAAAGTTGCATGGTTGGTGAGAGGATTCACCAGAGACACACCGGCTGAAATAAACTGCTGAGGGGAGCAGTGGGAAAGTCAGGAGAGGTCTGCTGCGCCATGTGGGTAACTCCCTGGCTGGGCATCGAACCGTGCTGCAGCAGCTGATAGCTTCATAGGTGGCATCTTAATGGCTTGCACCACCAGGGAGGGCCCTGTTTTGCTAAAATTTTTATCTTGGAAGTAAACTGGAGGAAATCAGAAAAGGACTAAGGAACAAGTCAATCAGCATATAAATAAAATAAAGTAAAGAAGGATTGAGAACAAACCTTTTGCAAATGCATGTAAATATAACTTAGTGGAAGTTCTTTTTTTTTTCTAGTTTCATTCGTTTGCCTGTAACTGTCTGGTTTTACCAACACCATTTATTGGAAAAGTCTTTCCTTGCTTCATTGTATCTCTTTTTTTTTTTTTTTTTTAAATAGAGGCATGTTTTATTTATTTATTTGTTTGTTTGTTTTGTTTATACATGCACTGGGTACAGTCAGAAGCGCGGGAGGGTGAGAGAATTCACCAGAGCCAGAGCGGGGAGCAGAGCAGGCAGAAGTACCCAAGTACACTGCTGAGGGGAGCAGCGGGCGGCAGGAGAGGTCTGCGCGCCATGTGGGACCCTCCTCCTGGTGGCCAGGGAGCAGCTGGGGATCGAACCGGCGCCTCCGAGGCCGCGGGCAGCTTCGCAACCCAGCGCTCAACCGCTGCGCCACCGGGGAGGCCCTTATCTCTTTTTTTTAAAGATTTATTTATTTATTTATACAAGCACTGGGTACAGTAGAAGCGCGGGAGGGTGAGAGAGTTCACCAGAGCCAGAACGGGGAACAGAACAGGCAGATGGATGAAATACACTGCTGAGGGGAGCAGCGGGCAGCAGAAGTCTGCCTGCGCGCCATGTGGGACCCTCACTGGCAGCCGGGGATGGAACTGGCGCTGCAGAGGCTGTGGGCGGCTTCGCAGCCCAGTGCTCAACCGCTGCGCCACCAGGGGAGGCCCAGTGGAAGTTCTTATTTACTATCTAACCTACAATTGATAAGGTTATTTTTATATAAAATAAAAGAATATAAGAAAACTGCAGTTCAAACTATGTGTCCTATGATGATGGATGACTATGTGTGTTCCAGTACTTCAGGGATGGATTAAGCTATTGAAAAAGCACTCAACATTGGCTAAAGAACAATAATATATGTGAATTTCTATAGTTAATGCATCATTAAATAATTTGCTGCAACTGATTTATAGGTGCAATATTCTACACTGTGTCAAATGGCGCAATATATAACAAATGGTATCAAAAATATACTCCCAAAACTTTTGTTATAATCAGTCTTTTGAGTTTAGCTTTGCACTTATCTGAGTACAGAAGGCATCCTATTTTCCCCTAGATAATATCCACAGTCTAATGGCTTTTAGCTATTGGCCTACATTTGCTGAATTCTGTAGTCTCAAGAAAATTATCTGATTTACAATAAGAACTAAGAAAAATGTTAGCACCACTCATGGAAAAGCAGCTGGTAGACTTTTCCTAACTAATAAAGTATAAAAAAGGAGATTTTATTTTTCTTTCAGAAACCCTAAAATCTAAGTAAGTTGACCTTAAACTTGCAAATTTTTATAGATTACTTGACAATTAGCTTTGCTGCCACAACAAGCCATCCAAGTCATTGTAGCTTATTTTACTGCAGATTCTGTAGATTAGTAATTTAAACTGTTCAAAGCTGATCAATATTCTCTGCTCATCAAAACACCTCTGTTCCTGAATGCTGCCTGACTGTTGACTATTTTACTATTTTTTGTTTTCTATTCAAGAAGAAAAAAAAAAAACAAAATATCAATAGAACTTTAAGATATATTTTTGAAATTAAATAAATGAAAAATTAAGAAGTACTTTTGCAAACAAGTATAAATGGCCTCTTACTAAAAAGAAAATAGTTTAAGAAATAAAATCTAATAATATGTGGTCCACAAATAATACTTCTACATTTATATTTTAGAAAGGATAAGCATAATACATTATGAAAATATAAACAAAATGGTAGAGACAATACTAATCTCACTCATAGTAGATTTCAAAATGAAAATTAGTAAATTATATAACAGTTTATTTAACATAAAAAATATAAATTAAAAACAGTTATATACATCTTAAATGTAAAATTACATATCAGTATAATCAAGTAAGTCAATGTAGTCTACACCAAAACTTAATTTTTCTTTAAGCCATTGAGATATCATTTATAAAGTACAGAATATTTGGTTAATGTAAATAATATAATTAAATTGTGTTTGCATGTACTTAAGTCATGATTTGGGTAGGTAACTAAAATATTGCACTCTAAAATTGATATACCTTTTTTTAATGCCTATGAAACATTACAAATTTATCCTTTAGTAGATAAAATGATATAGGATTTAGTCTTTGATCACAGATATTGATTCAGAAATTCATTATTAAAGAGTTTTTTTAAATAAACAAAAGTCTCCTACTCATGAAAACTAGCTAAGAAAAATAATCTTGCAGCAGTTCTGAAGACAACAATGATACAAAAACAAATAAACAAAATCTTGGCAAGAAGTTTGGCTAAATACAATATAAATGGATCTAGATTAAGAAACAATTCATGTTTGGTCAGCCAAAAAATCACATTACAAAGTTATGACATTTTCATTCCTACTGTAAATATATGAGAATCTATGAGAATCGTTTGCCCTGAAACCTTTGTGTTCAACTATCCTGTTATATGCAAATCTTTCCTTGATTATTTACTCCTTTTTTACTTCAATTTGACTATAACTTTACCCAAAACTATTATCTGTTGTATTTTGACTCTTGATGATGGCAAAATATTTCAAAACTTTGACATTATCTTCTGTTCTCATACTTATCAACTTCTTTCACTGGATACTATAGATTTCCAATCGAATTTCCCAATCCTCACAGCCAGATAAGAATTATTCACTGTCCCATAGACAAAGAATTTGTGACAGTGGAAGAATTTATTTTATATTTTATTTGATTTATTGTGAAACCCAACTTTTCTAAAACATTTCTTGATAAGTACTATTTAAATGATATGCACCTAATTATTGGACCATAATTATTGTACTTAATAATAATTGGATTTAATGATTGCATTTTTGATCAGCAAATTTTCTACCCTTATCACTCCATAGGAGGGATGTAAAGGAAGACCAAACACAGAGTGGAATATATTCAAGAGAGCAGAAGACTCCTCATGAACACATACAGTCTTTTGCCAGCAAGGGAAAATTCCCTGAAACCAGAGTCCTCACCCACTGTCTTCTCCATTAAGGACCAACATTAAACAGCAACCAACATGTTATCTAACAATTTGCTTCCTAGGTAGTTAAACAGTTCAAAAAGATAATCCAAAACATTTAAAATCACCTGATAAGTAATTATTGGGCTTTATGAACATAGAGAGATTTTGGTGGCTTAGAAATGCTCCTGCACATCAAGATTGAGTAGATGAAATATAACCGGAGAAAGTAGTGAAAACTACTTCTGCTATTAGGTGTATTATATATACATATATATATATCCAAAGAAGATAGAATATACTTACTATTACTCTTAATAATAACATTAAGTATTTCAATAATATTTAATATACTTAACTCACTCTTAATCATTAATAACTAATTAGAGACACAGATAAATAAAAATCAAGAGCAATGAATATTTACAAAGTCAAAAATACCATCAACAAATAGCAAGCATTAGAGAGACATTTCCATTTGATTTAGGATTATAAAAATAGAATTTTAACATGGGGAGATGGAAGAAAAAGCATTTAAATTTTTTTTTAAAGATTTATGTTTTTTATACATACAAGAACTGGGGTACAGGCCAGAGGTGTGGGGGATGAGAGGATTCACCAGATGCAGAGTGGGGAACAGAACAGGCAGACTGACTGAAATAATACTGCTGAGGGGAGCAGCAGGCAAGGCAGGAGAGGTCTGCTGAGTCATGTGGGTTTCTCCCTGGCCAGCTGGGGATGTAACTGTTCTTCAGAGGCTGGGGATAGCTTCATAGTGCTGTGCTCAACCCTTTGCACCACCAGGGAGGCCCGGCATTTAAGGTTTAATGAACATTTTAGCCAAAGCATGCAACTAAATATGAAATGGGAGTTGTAGAGCAATTCCATAAAAGGCCAGAGGCCAGAAAAGGCAGTGGAACCCATTTCTGCTGTTATATATATTATTCTGCTAACATATATATTATTCTGGAACATTCTGTTCCCTGTGGTTTATGTGTATGTTAGACTATTTTTCTTATCTAAAGATAACTTAGATCAGATGTGGCTGAATCAGAACTCACTCAGTTCATAAATACCAATTATCTCTACACTATTTTATAGTAAGTCTATAATATTTGGACATCCGGTGCAAGTTAATCAAAGCTGGTATTTAATTGTGGCAGTCTGAGAGTTATTTTAAATTCTTGACCCAAGAATGGAACAGACTACTCAAACAGGTATCTAAGAGGGGGTTGGGCTTAAGTCAGCAAGTCCTTCATCACCACAAGGATGTACTATGAAACTGAAAACAATTGGAAAAAAAAAGTGCCTAGAATGTTGCTTAAGAACACATGAAATAATTGCTACTACTATTATCAATTGTAATTGGCAATACAGCAACATATTGCAAAACAGTGAAATTAAATATTTACTAATAATGCTGGTACAGAATGAAAACAGTATAGTGACATGTGGGCAAATCGAAGGTCACTAGCAAAGGAAGTAGAATAGTAGCCCTTCTAGGTAGTGGTGATCTGAACTTATATTTTCCACAGATTTCCTACTGGATATTTAGGGACAGAATTACACTGGATTCCCATGGACATTAGGTGTGCTCACCCATCATTCATTTGAAAGAAGACAAATTAGAGTGTTGCTCCAACCTCTCGTTAAAGGTGAATTGAGGGGAAATTTTCCCTTCTGGATACTCCTAGTATTAGGAATTTAACATTAGTTAGTTGAAGGTGACTTTGTGACATGTACTTACATTTTTATAAACCTCCCCTCCAGAATTTAGTGCCTTCTTTCTCCATGTATGCTGAAAGTAAGAACTCCAGGCTCACTACACCTTTGAACTCCTTAGGAAAACTGAGCATTCAGATGAGGACAGTTGTTTTAATTATAAATACAATATATTTGTGGGAAACATGCATGCTATTTCCTGGGATACATTTAAAAACTCAGCTTCCTGCCATCCAAGCACTAAAAAAAAATAACTATAATAAAGTAAAAATCAAAATCAATCATAGACCAGAGACATTCTATAGAGGAAGAGGCAGGAGAAGGATCAGGACAGGGGAAGGAAGAGCACAAGGGACGATGGTGATGGTGCACAGGTGAACTGGTTGTGGGGATTTTACGGGCAATCCTACATTGTACAAAAATGAAGGATGATGTAATAAATTTATATATACATATATAAAATCAGCTTCATGGTTTATCCCTTCCAGACTTGTTGAATTCATAGGGATTCATTAAGGAATAAAGTTTGAGAATCTGTGTTCTAAACTTTTTAGCCTAGAGGCTAAGGTAATAGAGGGAACTAAAAGGACACAGTTCTTTGTAATTATTACACAGTTTTGTTTTGTTTTTTAAGATTTATTTATTTATGGGTATAAGAGCTGGGGTACAGACCAGAGATGTGGGGGGGGGAGTGAGAGGATTGACCAGAGACAGAGCAGGGAACAGAACAGGCAGACTGACTGAAATACACTGCTGAGGGGAGCAGCCGGTGAGATAGGAGAGGTCTTCCTCACCATGTGGGTTTCTCTCTGGCCGGCTGGGGATTGAACCTGTGCTGCAGAGACTCTGGAGTGCTTAGTACTGAGGTGCTTAACCCCTTGTGCCACCAGGGAGGCCCTATTACACAGTTTTAAAAATAGCAATTTAGAAAAGTATAAAGTACTGTTTCTTTACTGGACATAGGCATTTGTTAGTTTAAGCTAAGAAGTAAGTTCAGTGACTTCTTTTATGTAAAAGAACATATAGAGGTATGGAAATTTTACCCTCAATGTTACATAGATATTTAAATGACTGAAAAAAATTGTAAACAAGCCAAAATAAACAAAAGCAAAGACTTGTCTTAAATGTAGTTATTTCAAAGAAGTAATTATTAAAAAATTAGGAAGCAAGGCAATAAAAGATTTTGTACAGTATATCAATGGTACTACTTAGAGTTTTCACTGTTGTAATTGAGGATGCCATGATCCCACCATTTTGGTTGATAAAATCTTTATATATTTAAATGTTCTTTTATATTAGCCTCAGTGATTTTCATAATTCATTGCTTCTTTCACTTCTCTAAATGATTTTTGTTAATTTGCTGTATACTGATCAGTTTATAAATCATGTCTAACTAAGAATGAATGATAATCATAAAAAGTGATGAATCCATAGTTCTTTTCATACAATCACATTTTGGAATCATGTTTTTTACTTTCTTTTTTGTTCTCATATGTCATCTGGCTTTGGGATCTCAAGTATATTGGGCTTTAGTCTTAAAAGGAATTGAAGGAATTTATTTTTGTGAACATAAAAGCCTTTCGTCCAATTTACCTATTTTGCATAATTTTATTGAAAAGCTGTTCTCTAATTCTGCCAATCTCTGTCACTTTTGTTTAAAGCATCTGGTGTAACAGCTGTTGAAGTCTCCCTTTTGCTTTCCTCCTTCCCTTTCCTCCTCACCCCTCTGTTTCTGTCATATTCCCTGATCATCCTGCATCAGTATCTTAATCTTTTATCCTAAACTGACTCTTGATTACTATTCCTACTTGAATGAAATTGTTGTTTTTTTCCTTCAAGAAATTATAAGGATTTAATCACCAGTGGTAAAAAGAGAATTATAATCTAATACTTAGATGTATAATAATTCATATAATTTATTCATGTAAATATATATGTAACATATGTATATATAAATATATCTAATACAATGAAAAATTAAAAGCAGATTGAACAACTGATGTTACCTAATAATTCAGCAAAGAATCTTGGGATTTTGACTGTGTTCCTAGGAATTTTAAAATACCATATTCATTCTTATTCATCTTCAATTCTCATTTTGTAATTTAATATTAAAAATAGTATGAAGGAAATTGTGAATTTTATATAATATATATTCCAACTATTCTGAGAATATTTGAATACTATTTGAGCAATAATAGAAATATATAAATATTAAAACTTTAACATTATATATATATATCTCTTTGTCTTCCTTTTTATACATATAACTTGAACTGTTTCCACTCTCTTCATGCTATTTGAGCACTCAGAAATTTAGCTAACAAATATAATGCCTTTTAGAGAAAAAGGCTTTATTTTAAACCTCCTGTTTAATTTTTTATCAGTTACTTCATTCTTATCGATGTTTACATTTCTTGCAAAGTCTATAACCATTGAAGAACCATGTAGGTAGTTATTAATAGCAAAAATAAGATGCCTAAATTTGTGCCTTTAATACCAAGATATTTTGATTTATTTGTGTATTGTTTCTTTTTATCCTGTCAGGTCAGAGATTTATATAAAAAATGTCAATTGTTAAATAAATGGATTTCAAATAATTTATCAGTTACATGGCACAGAACAGTAAAACTACAACAAATGTTTACATACTGATATCACTGATGCAGCTAGTACACCAGGAACCGTGTGTGTGTGTGTGTGTGTGTGTGTTTATATTGACAGAGAAACAGTTTCTTTCATGGTGGGACTGATATTTATTAGTTCTTCTAATTATCTGTAGAAAACGTCACAGACATGATATACGAAGTCTAACACTTCTCAGGATCATGTGAAAATGAAGCCTTACAGAGAGGTTACCACATACAACAGATTCAACTTGACAGGAAATGCTAGAATGCTGAAAGTCAGCTGAAAACATGTAAAAACTTCAACAAATATACTACCCTGCACAAAAACACTGCCTGCAAATGTGGGAAATAATTAGCAGCTGTTTTTTTTCAAAGACAGGAGCCAGACAGCAGGGCTCTTAAGCACACAAGCAGCAGTCCATAGACAGTTCCATTTTATCAGGTTAATTGACAAAATTGTCTCTAATTAAATTAATTAAAGATGGGTTGGAGCCCCCCCAAGGTATGTCTGTAAAAGAACTGAATATGCTCTTACAGGAAGTTCATGTTCAGTAGAGTTAAATTCCTGTTTTCAATGACTGGATTTGGAGAGAAAACATAAATCTAGACATATTTGTTTGTAGTTTCCTTTTTTTCCTTCTTTTCTTGACGGTTTATTTCAGTCAATCTTATACTAGGACATCTCTCTAGAAAGTTGGAAATTAAAATTTGCATTTTAACACAAA